TCCATTTAATTTGGCACAACTAGAGGGCATAGCTGCCACAGAAGAAGGAGACAGAGCTTACCTATGAAGTGATACTGTGTATATACCACAAAGTGTATTGGATTGGTACCTGCCTTATCACGGTTCAAGTGGGAGCAAATCTATTTTTGCCGTGTGGTTATGGAAAAGTCCTGCCTGTGTATGTGTGTTAAAAATGTGATTCCTAGATAATGCTGCCACCTGGCACAAGTATTCTTCCCGTCTCCTTTAGATAAGGGGTGTGCTGTGTCAGGACTTACACAGAACCATGCAAGACCGTCCGTCCTTGCTTCTCCTCTTGCATGCCTGCACAGAGATCGCCACGTTGTTTCCAGCGTCATTTCTTTCTGCTCCTTTCTCTTATATCAGATTTGATCCACCCCTTGTTTTCCCATCAACTGGCATCTCCATAAATTAACTCTATGCTTACCACGTTCTATTAAAGGGGCCCTTAAATAACTACTCAAAGCAGCTTCAGGGGGTCCAGACAAAGCCGCAAAATCCCCTGATGATAATTTTCTCACTCTTGCATATATCACAGACTGGTTTCTGTTGGAAGGGACCTTAAAGCTCATCCAGTTCCAACCCCTGCCACAGGCAGGGACACCTTCCACTGGAGCAGCTTGCTCCAAGCCCCTGTGTCCAACCTGGCTTTGAACACTGGCAGGGATGGGGGCAGCCACAGCTTCTCCGGGCACCCTGTGCCAGCGCCTCAGCACCCTCACAGGGAAGAGCTTCTGCCTGATGTCTAATCTCAATCTCTCCTCATACACTTTTCTGTGTATACAGTACCTTTTTAATCCAGTAAGTAATTTATTAACTTGTGACAGAATGTGTACCAGCAAAGTAATGTAAAAACCACTGCAGGCAAAAGAGACCTAAATTGTTACCTAGTCTAGCATCCCCTTCCACTGATGCGAACCACGGCCGAGTTTCAGAAGTATTGAACTTCCAATGCAATTTCTAATTTGGTCTTCCAAGAATTTTTCAGTCAACTTGAACGTGAGAAGTCAGTGCTCAAAAATAAGTTCACTGCTAAAGAGATGGGAATTGAGTGACTTAAGTCTTATTTGGGGAAGCGGAGAGAAAAGAAGTCATCATGCCCATCAGTCATGAAGGGCAAGGATGGAAACTTAGGTGTAGTCCCCCAAATACCAATGAAGCCATCAGTTAGAGGGTGACATGGCTTCTTCCATTGTTTAGGCCTGTGCAGTCCCTGTTGCACCCAATAAATATATCCCTATTAGAACTGCTCCCAGACTTTGTGGCTGGTAGAGCTTTTATCTCAAACCCAAAGCATTAGTGAGCTATCGATCACTGCAGTAGTAGTTCAGTGAAGCTCAGTACAGTCAATTCCTTTGGTCTATTTTTAGTTGCAGTATTCCCCACTGGGTTTACTGCATGTGGAAACAACATATGGGAGCGACATCAATAAATACTTAAAGCCTTGTTTTCTTCTTTAATCGTAAGCTATTTTTATCAACACTTTGGGGAATACCAAGTAAGCAATTAAACACTATGAATCTTGCAGAAAGTATGCTGAGCTGTGATGGCATAAGTTAATACCAACAACAGATAAGCATAGGAAATCAATAATTCTACCAAAGAAGAGATAAGAAGAGTGACATTGCTAGTGAAGACTTTTAGTAGAAGTCTGCATATTCATGCTTCATGATACCGACTGTACCTTATTCTTTGAATGTCTTGCTATTAACTCCTTGGACACTTGGAAGAAAAACATTAGTCTACAGGAGGTGTTGTTAATAGATGTTTTTCAGCCATTTGCAGAGTCATGGCTGGTTTCTCACTGGAGATTTTCTGTTCTTTCTCAGGAACGTCTCCCTAGTCCAGCCTTATACTGCAGTGAACAAAGCTAAACGTGCAGAGGAAGGACACTCATCCTTCAGGTGGGTAAAAGAAGGCCAGACTGCCTGAGAAAATAACAGGGAGCCATCTGAATTGAGGGATGTGTCTAAAACACGTAGTTAAATGCAAAACCAAGATCTGCTGACATAAAGTGGCTCTGTCATGGGTTACAATTTTAAAAGAGCCATGTCTTATTTTACCTGATCATCTACCTGGTACAGTTTACTGCAGTCAGTGTAGTTACACTGATGTCAAGTCTAGGGTAAATGAGAAGACCAAGGTCAACCACTTAGGAAAAATGGGGTTTCACAGAATCATAGAATAGTTAGGGTTGGAAAGGACCTTAACATCGTCCAGTTCCAATCCCCCTGCCATGGACTTACTAATACTGTCTCAGCTATATTACTTAGAAAAGCTCCAGTAGCTTTAGCCCTGTGCTCCATTCATTCTCCACTTACAGTGTAATCACAGAATCCTAGAATGGTTTGTATTGGAAGGGAGCTTAAAGCTCATCCAGTTCCAACCCCCTGCAACAAGCAGGGACACCTTCCACTAGAGCAGCTTGCTCCAGGCCCTGTCCAACCTAGCCTTGAACACTGCCAGGGATGGGGCAGCCACAGCTTCTCTGGGCACCCTGTGCCAGTGCCTCAGCACCCTCACAGGGAAGAGCTTCTGCCTAAGAGCTCATCTCAGTCTCCCCTCTGGCAGGTTAAAGCCATTCCCCCTTGTCCTCTGCTTCATTTTGTTGGCTACACCTCTTCAGAAATGGGAACAAATATTCAGAAAGAGAACATCAATAGATATAGTGCAAGGGTTAATTAAACACCACCATAAAGGTGATTAAACAATGCTAGTTTCACTGGCTGATTGCAATGAAAGCAAGGCCCAGATAAAAGTCAGAACAGGTTTGATATTTGTATAATCATTCCTGAAAAGGTGCATGAAGTCTGACACACACAGCCAGCTTTTGCAGTTCTCAGATCACTTCTAAAACCCCCAAGTTCTCATCTGAGCTAGGCGGAGAACAAGGGAAATCAGAAAGCTGTTCATATCCAGTCCCTCTTTCTGCCTACATCTGTGACTTTGGCCTTCCTACCTGTTTGGGTTAAAAGAAAAGAAATTATACCTTCAGAAATCACTGCTGGATTTGAAATGCAGCGTTAGTGGTTAATCTTGTGCTCTTTGGCATTGTCTAGAGAAGAAAACAGTACTTAGGAAAAAGAATACTTTGCTTAGGCCTTTGCTTAGTTCCTTCTGCTTAATTGTACCTGTCCTTGTGAAATGCACTGGGTACCACTGTGTGGTACTAAATGATTTCAGAAGCTGTCCATTAATTCCAGCAGACATTCTTAACTCAAGGCTCTGACAAGTGACTCTATGAGATCAGTTAAGCACTGCACCTACCACCAGGAACTGGAGGGGGTTTTTCTTTGAACTCGCTAAACCCAACAATTTTCCGTATTCATCTCTGGAAGCATTTCTCTCCCTCTCTCCCAATGAGAGATCCCAAAGCGCACCCACATTCCTGCCTACAGGGAGCAGGAACAGATTTTCCTGCTTGGAAAAACGTGTATCCCACAAGAGCTCTTCAAAAGCAGGTGCAGCTTTTGCTATGTATAATAACCCTCCTCGCAGGCTGGCAGAAGCAGAGGCGCTTTTCATTACCACAGATTCCAGGTCAGATAGGGGTGAAAACTTGTTTTGTCTCAGGCACCCACTCCTGCAGAGCACTCACCCATCAGCCTACTTCAAACTCTGTTTTCACCCCATTAACGAAAGCAGTTTAAATGGGGCTTTTCTGTTAAATGGGTTTCTATTCCCGTAACACAAGCCTTTGAGTAAACAGACGCTGTTTTATGGTTCTAAACCCCATCCTATTTGTTAGTTTTATTGCCTTAAGAGCCACTGTTAGTGGGTGCCTCATGACAGCAGGAAGACGGTGCCTCCAAAAGGGAGCTGAAGCACTTTTTCCAATGCCGGTGTCAATATTCCTACTCTCAAATCACATTTTGCTAAGACTTCTTTGTATTACTACTAAAACTATGTCGTCAATGTCTAGAGCAAATGCACCAGCCCCTCACAAGTTGAAAGCGGGGTTGATTTGTGATAGAAAAGCACATCCCTTTCCTTTCTTTCCCACACCAGGCTGCTCTCACAGCGAGCTTCTCCCTCGGGAAATTCTAAGACCTATTAAGTTCTTAAAATAAGCGCATTTACTGAGTGGTTTGAGCCGTGTGTTGCATGCGAGGCCAAGGAGAAGGGGGCAGGAGACACTCTGCGCCTCCCTTTGAGGACCGCACCGGGGGCTCCGCACCCAGCAAGCCCCCGGTCCTGTCCTGTCCTCCCTCGGTGCCTCCTCCCCGAGGCAGCCCGCCCGGGCTCCGGGCCAGCCGGGGGGCCCAGCACAGCCCCAACCCTTGGAAGGACCGGGGGGGGCCGGTAACCCCGGCGTGCCCGGGCCGAAGCGGTGCTGCCCGCTGAGGAGCTCAAGGGGATCCCGAGGGAGTCGCTTTCCCACCGGGCTCAAGTTTCCAGCACTTTCTGCCCACGGTCATTGCTCTGGATTGCTCCAAACCGGGAGAACCGGACCCGAACGGGCCGTTCCTGAGGGCCCCAGACGGAATCACGGCAGCTCCCCCCCACCGCGCCTCTCCTTCCATGGACATATTTGGACTAAGATAGGGCTTTTCTCGGAGCACGCTGGAGAATCAAAGCAGAGCAGACAGCTACCGAGACAGTTTGTGCTCAGGAAAACAACGAGAAATAAGGGGAGGAAAAAAAAAAGGAATGAAAAGAGAAGGGAAACAAGTTGACAAGTGAAGTCCTGGCCGGGTTTCTCCTTTTATAAAGGACGTTCATGACCTGGGCTGCTCACAGCTGAAAAGTAAAGCAAGGTTCGCGTCTTCCCCGGCAGAACCAACTTTAAATAACCACCACGGCCGAGGGATCGGGTGATTGAATGCACAAAAAAGGGACTGCAGTGCGTCAGGGACAAAAGGCAGCTCCTGCCCTCCCCACCGCAGCGCCATGACCCCCACAACCCTTCCTCCGGTGCCCCCCCCCGCGGGCCGGCCCCCGTCCCAGGCACGGAGCCGGTTGGGTGCCACCCGCCGTACCTGCGCCGGCGCCCGCTGGCGCGGGTCGTTCCATGTGGTGGTGCGGCTGTTGTGATCCACGAAGAAGGGCCAGCCCGTCTGCGGGTCGATCTTGATCTCCCAGCCCGGGGGCAGCGGCTCTGCGCTACCCTCCATCTGCGGCGGTGGCGGCGGGGACTGCGCGGCGGCGCTCATGGCCGGGGACCAGGACCGGCCCGGCTCCGAAGGGAACAGCCAACGCCGCGGCCGAGCCGTGCGCCCAATGCCGGGCGGGGGCGCCGGACCGGCGGCTTTATCCGCCGCGGGGCGCGGGGGGCGGAGGCGCGGGGCTGGAAGTGTCTGGAAGCGGCGGAGGAGGGACAAGGGACGGGGGAGGGACGCGGAGGAGGAGGGGGGACACGGAGGAGCTGCCCGGCTGGAAACTTCTGGTTGTCTCCAGCGCGGCGCGGCCGACCCGCGGGTGACGGGACACGGGTTCCGTGGTAGCGCCTGGGGTGGGCTCCGGAGCAGGCGTGGGTACCCAGCACAGGGCTGCTTTATGCTCTGGCCGGTTCCTGCTGCACCCCGTAGCCTGTAGGTTGAGCAGGAAGTGTCCCTGGGGAGCCTGCAGACCTCAGTGCGTCGTTTGGCAGGGTCCCGATCGCTCCGTACAGAGAGCAAAACCCCAAAGCTCCTCCCAAAAGCTCTTTGCCCGTGACTGGTAATTCAAGGTTCTAGTTAACAAGTAACGTACTGTTTTTCCCCAGATGAGGGGCTGTCTCGCTTTATTCTTCATATTCAGCTACGTTTGAATTTTCTCAGCTCTTTGCAAGTATGTATCTCAGTCCCCAGTTTCACTTAGAAATACAGCTCTTTAGCAGGGAACGTGTCTGTGAGCTTTAAATCATCTCTTTCTCCTTGGGTGCTGTATCAGCGTGTCATGCACTCTGTGTTTAGCTTGAGGTAACTGTACTTCACAATTAGACCACTGGTAGTCATCTGACAGTCACAGGAACAGCCACAGATGCCTGTTGATAGCTACTAAGTAGACGAGTGAATGGATAGTGTCCCTCAAGTGCAGAAGTCACCTGCTGCAAAACTGTTCCCTTCAAGGAATTCCAGGTATTCATTCCTCAGAGGTAGATGCTCATTACAAGTATCTCTGACAGAGAAACCTTCCTGTTCTCACCAGGACAGTCAGGATCTGCTCCTGCTTGGGGCAGGATCAGTGGTCTCTTCATACTGCTTGACACCAATAGTCACTTGTCTTTTGCCAGAGTGGGTTTTGTTTATCACAGTGACAAACCTAATAACTGCTCAAACGTGCTTCACTCCTGCAGCTCTCCCATCCTGCACATCCCTCACCTTCAGAACCATGCTGTGGTCCACCATGGACCTGGGTTTCTGTCCTTGTGTGCCTCTAAGTATTGTAAATGGATTGTTTATTATGCTCTCAGGTATTGCCATCACCGTTACTGACTTCCCTATTTCCTACAGCAACACGTCCCATACCTTGCACATCTCATCATCAGTCCTGTGGTGCCTGTCCCTGCATGTATCTCCTGCCTGTCAGTGACATGAGACCTCTGCTCAGCCTCACTGGTGCCAGCAGTTGCCTCAAAAGACGTAATAGCAGAGATTTATTCTGCTCCCAGTCAGTAGAGATCTGCAGAGGAATTTCACTCTCCATCTCATCACAGAAAGGCATGCTTGGACCATATGTTCTCTGTAGCATATTGCCAGAGTCTTTGCCAAAGCAACAAAGGCAGCTGATTCAGACACAGGGGACACAGATGTTAAAAGGTCTTGCAGGAAAATTACTCCTGTAGGTTGAGGAAGCGATGCAGATGGGGTTTGTAGCTGATAAGAGTGTACAAAGAGATGTGAAGAATGGGGCTGCTTTGTTTTGCTCAGCTGACAGCTCAGCAGAGGTAGTGAATAAGGTCAGCAAATAGCCAACAGCATAACAAAAGGAGTAGGCAAAGGGGTGGCTAACTAGGTAGCAGTTTTTGTGAGGCACTCCCTGCTAAGAACCACGAGGGTTCTATGTCACAGGAATTAGCACAGGCTGGTGGCTCAGGGAGCTGCTGCAGGAACAAAACCCAGAGGTGGAAAAGCATCCAGCTGGAGAGAGAGCAGTCTGGGCTGTGAAGGAAAAGCACTTCAGTGATTGAATTTAGCTGGCTGGACATCATGCTTTTCTGTTAATTAAATTGTCTTCCTGGACAGGGAGGTTTTAGCCTGTTTTCTTGTGAAGGTGAAAGGACTCCCAGCTGGGTATGTTATACCTATAGGATAGCAGTACAGGGATTCACTTTCTGTTCTCTTGCACTCTGCTCTCTCTGGCCCGTAACTGCAACCTGGAGGCAGCATGGCTTCTGGTTTATATTGCCATTAGCCATATTTCAGATCAGAATGATTTATGGGTAAGTTTGTGTAAAGAGCACTGCAAAGTGAAAACCTTGGGTTCAGGAAAATTGGTTCTTAAGATAAGCAAGTCTCTGTAGTGTCTGGCTAATCTCAGCTGGGACTCCAGGCTCCAGGTCTATGTATTCCATTTCAGAAGGGAACTGAGAAGTGTTTGCTAATTTTTGTCTTCTTCCTCTAGGTGCAAGCAGAGCTCTCCTCATTTCTCCAGGTGTCTGTCTGCACACCCAGGAGTACTGATCCAAGCTTTACTCCAGGGTGTTCCAATGCAACTAGAAACTGTGTAATTGTAGTTACCCAGAAGTAATACGCTCTAAAGGGTCTTCATGTGTTTCTTTGTCTTGAAAATGGACTGACTGTAGGTAAACCAGCTGGAAAACTATGAGGCTTGCATGAACAACTGAATAACCCAGGAGCCCGAATCAAAGCCAAGCCATTCCTTCCCCAAGCCATCAATTGCATCATTTCTCAGTTTTGACCTTAGTACTATGAGAGAGTTGGCCTCAGTTTCTGAGTTATCCTGTGCTTACTTGAGGCTGTAGGTATGGCTGCTCTGCAGGAACCTCAGGACAGCTAGAGAGAGTAGCGAGCACCCTGGGGAGCCACTGCACGCTGGCACATCTTCCTGATGCATCAGTAAATGTCTGCTGTGGTGATCTGCTTCATCTGTGGGTCACACGAGGTCTCTGGTTACAGATCTCTCTGTAATGAGACGGTCGGGCATGTCTGTGTGCAGTGTCCTGCTGCAGAGAGCTCCCTCCTCAATGCACTCCAGCTTTAGCTCAGGTTGTACCAAGCAGCACCCTTATAACAATAAAATCATTATTTGTTGTATAAAGAAGTAGGTATCTCTGGTGTGTCAGGTAAGAACAGGTCTTGCAGTAAGCTCTAAATGTGCTTTCTATCCATGGCAGTTTAGCAGATCACCTGAACAGAAAAGGCACTGTTAATCAGGACTGGGTATTAAAATGCTTGCTCTGGATCAGGTACTGTAGAAAGCTGTTGTTGATGAACCTGTGGCTATGGCATGTGTCTAGTGCTGGATTTCTAAGCAGGCGCCAGTCCAAGTTCTCTGCTGGATGTGTTTAAGATTGAGTCATATGAAAGCTCTGTTAATAAATGCTGCAAGAACACAGAGTTTCTCAATCTTCAGATTCAAGATTGCATTCCAGCATGATTTCCATCACCTGATGTTTCATCCAAATCCAGAGCATCAACACTGAATAGTCCAGAACTTCACTGGCTTCATTCTGAATATCCTGCTCTGGGTGGATGAATCATTTCAGCTAAAAGCAAAAGGTCTCAAGTACATATTCCCTGCTAACTATGACCAGAGAAGTGGAGATGTTTGGCTTCATGGCTTGTTCAGAACTGTGGACTTGTTTGTATCAACAGTATAAAAAAGAGCCACTAATACAATTGGGTCCAGTATTTCAGAAAATTAAAGATGCAAAATGATTGATAATCTTGTACTAATCTGCCACTTATGCTACTGACCGCCTTTGACTTGATTTTCCATGTTTGTTTAGTACATAATTTAGTGTGAGTGCTGATGAAAGTAGGGCAGATTGAGATTAGACATTAGGCAGAAGTTCTTCCCAGTGAGGCGCTGGCGCTGGGTGCCCTGAGGAGCTGTGGCTGCCCCATCCCTGGCAGTGTTCAAGGCCAGGTTGGACACAGGGGCTTGGAGCAAGCTGCTCTAGTGGAAGGTGTCCCTGCCTGTGGCAGGGGTTGGAAATGGGTGAGCTTTAAAGTCCCTTCCAACACAAACCAGTCTGGGATTCTATGGCAGCCCTCCACAAATGGTCTGATCTCATGGAGTGTTGTACTGCTGCAGGCATTGTATGGTTCACACAGCTGGATCGTATCAGCTGCTTATTGGAGTCAGAGTAATAATATGCACTCTTTTTGATAGATAAATACAGTTCCTATGAACTTTGATAAGAAAACAGAGTGCTAAATGTACTGTCTACATGGACAGTACCTGTTCCAATCACAGTGCAACTACACGAAATCTGGGCATTCACAAAGCACATACTCAGATTTCCAAATTTTGGTTTTTTTTCAACCTGAAAAGGTCTCCAGAAGCTAATTCCAGTACAAGAATATTTTTTCCTTTCTTTTGCCTTTTTATTTCCAGCTGGAACACAACCCGCCTTAAATCAGGGCGTGAATCTGGCTGCGAACACAGCAAAACCAGCTTTAATTTCTGTCATCTGTATGCACAGAAAGCAAAATTCAATCCAGAACATGGGCAGCAGAAGACAAGTTGTATTTTTGGAGCTCCTCGTTTGCCTAGTATGTTAGGAGTGGTGTATGGAAGCTAAATGAGTATGTACAAAACAGGCATTGGGGGTTGACTGTTCCCTGCTCTTCCTAAGTCAGTCAGACTGAAACATGAGGAGACAGCTCTTTGGTGTGAGAGGTGTCTGTGTCTACACAGGGAGCAGGAGAACCTTATCTTACTTCGTTAGGAGGGTGAATTAGAACCAATTTTTGCCGGCTTTTTGAGTTGCTGCGGGGTCACCATCCATTAGTATTTACAGGCCTCCACCTAGTGGATAAACGGCTGCTCTGTACCCAAACCTGCAGTGACCCAAATGAGCATTGGGACATCTGAAGGGCTTTTCCAAGGCCAAAAAAGAACCATTTCCAGAGGTGAGTGTGCCCACAGCAGGCAGGGTACAGAGGGTGGGAAAAACAACAGGAAAGGGAACTTGAAAACCCTCTTCTATGAGTAAATGAATCCTTTTATAAGCAATAGCAGAGAATGGCACATGTGGAGGCAGAAGTATTTCTCCAGTTTCTGGGGGATACTGCAACTGATTTAGTGTCAGTGCTCTGTTCCTAATCATCCCTTCAAAGTGTTTTTATCCCCTTGAACTGAAGAAGC